GGGTGTGGGTGGGTGTGAGTGTGGGTGTGGGTGTGGGTGGGTGTGGGTGGGTGTGGGTGTGGGTGGGTGTGGGTTGGGTGTGGGTGTGGGTGTGGGTGGGTGTGGGTGTGGGTGTGGGTGTGGGTGTGGGTGTGGGGTGTGAGTGTGGGCGTGGGTGTGGGGTGTGGGTGTAGATGTTGTTTACTTATACTGCACCCACACCAACCCACATCCACACCCACACATTCATATCCACACATCCACACCCACGCCCTGTATTCATTTTGATGCGGAAAATCTGATGAGGCACTTTCTACTAGAGTCTTAGTCCCTTCCACTTGTCATAACAAACGACAACACTGCTTATAACCAAGACATGACTTTGACGGGTTGTGCTTAACACAAGCTAATCATTTTTTTTTAACGATTTGCAACATATCATTGACTAATTAAACGTGTGAGGGCTCATATAGTTTAGTTGCTAGTTTTGTTGTGCATACAAAAAGTTGTGCTTCAAAGTAACAGTAGAATATGACACACCATGTCTCGTTGTTTTTTTATTTGCGTAAAGAATTGGTGAAACTGGAAAAGATGAAACAATATATAGAGAAATTGTTTCTCTATGACAATGATAAAGAATGCTGTGTATTCCGTATTTTGACTAACGACAAATTAGAAATCGCGATAATCAGGAAAGGAGATATCGAACTCGATACTCATACATCTACAGAGTTGAAGATTTTGAGTAACCTTGATGTAACGGGAGGATGTAGGTGTGAATGAGTGTTTCAGAAAAATGAGATTAAAATAAGTCCTACATCCGCGTAGATGTCCCCCGCTATGTATGTCAAGCATTTTTACTTACACCTTCACTTCAAATCCTCCTGTCTGGGCTGATATTGATATTAAGCTGCGTATCCATCTGGTTAAACCAAATTCACTCACAATTCGCAACTTTACAGGTATGTAGGTATTTACTTAGATATCCATCTAGTTACATTAACATATTCACCACGATTCAAATTCCATAGAAACTAACATCTTTAAATACGTTTTATTAGAAAACAAAACACACCACAAGATGCAACATGAAAAGCTCTACAATCTACATCATAAAACTTATTTCAATTGTGTACTTTTTGTTTTTAAAATAAACTAAAATTGTGTGTGACCAATTTTTGAGGTTGCGAAAATTGATTGCACAGAATTTTACTTTTTTCGAAAACAAACAATAAACTTTACGATGTAGATTGTAGAGCGTTTCACACTGCATCTTGTGCTATATTTTGTTTTTTCTTACGAAATAATATTAGGTGATAAAAAGATGCAACAAGAAAAATGAAATTTCACATTCGTGCAGAAAAAATGACCGTTTCGCAACTTTGAGAACTAGTTACGCACAGTTTTACTTTCTTTGAGAACAAAAATTACACCATTAAAATAAGCTTTACTACGGGGATTGTAGAGCTTTTCACGCTGAATCTTATGGTATATGTTGCTTTTTTAATAAAACGTATTTAGAGATTAAAATATGAAATGCAAAGTGGGGTCCACCGGTGGACCCCATCGTGGTGAATGTGTTAAAAGCACTGAAAATTGTTGAATAAACTGCATATGGTAACATGGAAAGTATTAGGTGACTATCTTAATATGCATTTTTAGAACGTAAGTTTCGTAGTTATATATATATTATAACATACATCCTTGATAGTAACATGATTAATATGATGAAAACTTGGATAGACGCTTCATGGATGGTATTGTTTCTATGGAGTTATGCACAAGCGCAGTATAATTTATATGAGTCAAATTAAAGAGATGATCATATCCTTTATCACGACTGCTTGTACTATAAAGTGATGGACGACATCGTTGCATATAATTTGGTTGACTCTAATTTCAACAATCCGTACCAAATTATTTCGTATTGTATACGTCCTTCATCGAAAGGAACAAAACATCAGCAATGGATAGAAGGTGATAAATCGTCTAAGTTCACATTCGAACAGTTGAGAGCAGCACATGTGAATGAGCACAATTTACTCTCGTGGTCAGCTACAATCAATGTCGTCGAACTTTATAATCAGTATCTCGAGTTGCCATCAAATAGTTCACTGATGAATCAAACTTTTCACAATTGTACTCAACAATGGTTCGGATCATCATGTCAGTACACTTTTGATTCTAGCCTTTCGTTTGAAATCATAGTCAAGAAGACATTTTCTGAAAGGCAAGCGAATGCTTTTTCATTAGATTCACGTAACTTTGAATTTACGAATCTCTCGTGTTATACATATTTGAAATGTGATCGCGGACCAGCGCCGATTTGTCTCGATTGGCGTGAAATTTGCGATGGAAAAATCGATTGTATTGAAGATGGTTTGGATGAAATCGGTTGTTTTCAGCTCGAAATTAATGAATGCGAGCAGAATGAATATCGGTGTCACAATGGTATGTGTGTACCGGAATATTTCTTCAATGATGATCCATATAATCCCGATTGCTCTGATAGTACAGATGAACATGTAAATGATAGTCCACGAGTACAAATACCAGGATTTCGTGAATGTTTTCGTGATCCAGCATTTCGATGTGAGGAATCAGATTATTCGATGCAATCTCCATCACTCGTATGTGGAGATGGACAAAGAAATTATTTACGCTTTCCGGATATAGGTGATTTTCGAAAATTGCGGTCATGTGCTAATAGTCGTGATCTGGTCTTTGAAAAAAGTTTATTATCGTATCATGAGAATTCACATTTATCATATGATTGCTGGTTTTTTTTCTATTGTGCAACAACTGGTACTACGAGTCTTTCATGCATGAAGCTATGTAATGAAGATGAGTGGTTAGGTTGCGAAATTCAGATTTGGCAGAACTGTCACACGAATCATGTAGTTTTTCCACGACGACCTGTTCTACAAGGTCATGTATTATTCGTGTATTCGACAAGAAAAACTATTTATTTTACAGATGATGACGTCTCAGTGTTTCCGGATTATGTTTGTTATGATATTAAGCGATGCCCTTTCTTGGCAAATACTTCAACATTGAACATAACTAACAAAATATGTCAATCAACTGAGGAGCTACATCTTAGTTACATGATTGATATCGTTCAGCTTTTTCAAACTTGTCTAACGACCGTCGACGACGAAAATGATAATAATCGATCGACAGCATCTCTTTTTCAATGTCCAGAAACGACAAAACGTATTTCTCGGCATCGAATTCTTGACGGTATTATCGATTGCTATGAAGGTATCGATGAACAATTTGCTGATGCATGCCAATTCAAGGACGAACACCGTTTTCAATGTTCATCGGAAAAGAAATGCATCTCACACCTTCTACTTCAGAACTCAATAAATGATTGTCTTGGAGGTGAAGATGAACTTTTAAAAGTTCCAGAACTAATTTCTTTTCAAACCCTCTGCAATGGATATGTTCACCTTTCGCCGTTGCTTGTGGGTGCATTTAATGAAACAGATGAGACACATTGCGAAGAATGGCCATGTGACAATTTGTACACACGATGTGATGGCGCATGGAATTGTCTTAACGGATCTGATGAGCTAAATTGTATATCGGGAGGATGTTTTCAAAATAGTCACGAGTGTATCTCACCCATAACATTTGAAATCTTTTGTCTACCTGCTCATCGGGCTGGCGATGGTATTGTCGATTGTCTCGGGTCAACAGATGAGCGAGCCTTTTGCCGATCTATAAATCCAACGAATGCTGGTTCTCGTTATAAATGTTGGAATACGGTTCACTGTATTGCAAACAACGATATTTGTTGGTACGATCTGTGTCCTATTGAAAAACTACTTGGCTGTAAAAGAGATGTTGAAATGATTTTAGAACGTTTATCGCAAGACAAGGGACTTCAATATCCAAAGTATGCCCATTTTCTACTTGAACGCTTTGTTGAAACATATCCATTAGAGACCTGGGAGCGAACACATATTGAAAATGCTGTAAGATCACCATCAGCGTTGACCTTTAATTCAATGTCATCTTATCCTTCATTGCAAGTGTTCACGCAACAAAACGATCGGATTGTAATTGAGCTTTTTAATACTCGTCGACTTTGGATTTGTAATCGAGGTATTCTTATCTATGTCGGAAGCCGATTAACAGAGCATTGCCTCTGTCCATCTAGTTACTTTGGCGATCGATGCCAATTTCAAAGTCAACGAGTTAGTTTGACACTTCAGTTTTATAGAATATGTGCACCAGAATGTCGTGGGGTGTTCGCTCTTATAGTTGCCCTTATCGATGAGGACAAAATCATACATTCTCACGAACTATTGACGTATATCCCAACTGTTAAATGTGAAAAGAAATTCAATATATATCTTCTGTATCGATCACGACCAAAAGACATAAAGAAAAACTATAGTATACACATCGATGCTTACAACAGAATCGATTTAACCTATTATACCAGCTGGATTCTACCAGTTTCGTTTCTTTTCCTTCCAGTTAATAGAATAGCCGCTCATTTGATTATTCCAGCTCACGCCTCTGATGTCAACAGTCAATGTTCCATTTTCTGCGATCATGGTCGATGTTTTTCGTATGTAAACAGTCCAAGTACATTCTTCTGTCGCTGTGATTCAGGTTGGTCTGGAGTCGATTGCACAATTCCTCATCATTGTGAATGTTCAATAGGATCTCAATGTCTTGGTCATGTTGAAAATCGATCTATCTGTCTTTGCTCGCTTAAAAAATATGGACCTCGGTGTCGTCTTCAATCCCTTTGTCAAAATAGACTTTGTAAGAATGGTGGAGTATGCATTTCAGATGACGAACGAGTACCCGAAAAAAGATTCGAATGCTTGTGTCCTGATGGGTTTTCAGGAATAACTTGTGAAATAACAGAGTCGAAAATCGAGATTTCATTTCATCAAATGGAGACTCCTCGCTCGCTCCTAATTCATTTTATTACCGTACAAAATAATGCAGATCCCACACGTCATACAATCTCTACGAAGATTCCATTTGATCGAGACATTGCTATCGTATATATATCGACAATGTTTCATATAATTATTGTTCAAGTTGCTAACGAATATTTTCTTGCACATGTCAAAGCCAACTATACTCCGACCGCTGTTGTCACAATTCAAATTACACCTTTCACACATTGTCCGCATGTTCAACAGTTATTTGACAATGATCAAATAGTTAATTATGCATTACTACGTCGTGCCAAATATTACCATTTGCTGTGTCGCAAACATCATCAATTGTCATGTTTTCATGACAATGAAGCATTCATGTGCTTGTGCAGACGAGAACGATATGCGAATTGTTTTCCATTCAGCTTTAATGCGACACATGGATGTAAAAGATTTGCTGATTGCCAAAATGGTGGAAAATGTTTGTCAAATCGTGAAACCTGTCCACAGAGCAGAATATGTATTTGTCCTGATTGCTTCTATGGAAGCAAATGTCAATTCACTACGAAAGGTTTTGACATATCGCTTGATGCCATTTTAGGCTATCATATTCGACCACAGCTACAGATAGGCCAACAGTCGTTCATTGTCAAAATCAGTATCGTTTTCACTATGCTCATGCTATTGCTAGGTCTAACTAATGGCATCGTATCCATTATGACGTTCCAAAGAAGAGATCTTCTACAAATTGGCTGTGGTCAGTACATTTTAACCTCGTCCATCAATTCACTGTTCGTAACAATCATTTTCACAGTTAAATTTTGGATGTTGATTATTTCACAGATGTCTCTAGTGACGAACGCCCGTTTTTTGAACATCAATTGTATTCTAGTCGAATTCGCTCTTCGTACGGGCCCTGCAGTGGGCGATTGGCTCAATGCTAGTGTTTCCATTGAGAGAATGCTAATTGTAATGAGAGGTGTTAACTTCGATAAGAAAAAAAGTCGACATATTGCACGGTCTGTCATTGTTGGTCTTCTTCTCACTAATATCGTGACTGTTCTACATGACCCTATACACCGAAAACTTGTTCATGATCCGGAAGAGAAAAGAATTTGGTGTTCAGTTGAATATTCTGTCGTATTCCAAATCTATAATTCAGCTATAAATATTTTTCATTTTGCTGTTCCACTCTCAATTAATCTGATTTCGGCTACAGTAATTATCGTGGTCGCTGCTAGACAACGCTTCACTGCTCAGCAACAGAAGACATATCGAAAACACTTACGCAAGCAATTCGTTCAGCATAAACATTTAATAATTAGTCCCATGATCCTTGTCCTAATCGGAACACCACGTCTTATAATTTCGTTTTTGTCTGGATGCATGAAATCAGCTCGGCATCCATCGTTATATCTCGCTGGATATTTTATTTCATTCATTCCGCTGTGCTTGACATTTGTCGTATATGTTTTGCCCTCAGAATTATACTTACAAGAGTTCTATACCGTGATGAAACGGTATCAAACGTATGTTCAACGCACATGCCGTCTCAAATAAAAATGATCGCAGATGGATATATTTAAAAAGACCTCTTAGTAAGAATAGTGTTGCTTAGGGTGTGGGTGTGGGTGTGTGGGTGTGCATCCCAGGTCGAATTCACCCTGTCGAATCCGATAGAAATTCGCCGGAATTTGTCGGAATCCTAACCACAGGATTCCGACAAGTGGTTCTGGATGTCGGAAAGTGTCGGAGTTTCAGGGATTTCGCAGGATCCTGATTATTCCGACATCCGGAACCTCCTGTTGGAATCCTGTGGCTAGGACGCCGACAACTTCCGACGAGTTCCCGTCGGATCCGTTAAAATCCGGTAATTTTTCCGATATAATCCGACTTAATCCGACAGTCGGATCGAATCACCTGGGTGGCTGTGGCTGTGTGGGTGTGGGTGTGCGTGTGCGTGTGCGTGTGGGGGTGGCTGTGGGTGTGTGGGTGTGGGTGTGGGTGTGCACACCCACACCGACATCCACACAAACACCCACACCCACACCCACACACCCACACCCACTCCCACCCACACCTACACACCCACACCCACACCCACACACCCACACCCACACACCCACACCCACACCCGCACCTACACCCACACCCACCCACCCACACCCACACCCACACCCCACACCCCACACACACACCCACACCCTCAAGATCGGTAAAAAGCTGCCCAACACTTCTGTGATAATACATCTACTTTTTGATAGAAAACTTTGTACTGACATGCAATTTGAAGTGAATTTGTTCTCTGGATCAATATGTGCACATAACGTGTTTGCATCTGCTCTTGCAGACCAAATTCGAGTGTCAGCGATAAATTACAAAACGGAGAATAGATCTGTATGCACTACGTATATCTTATCAGTCTGATAAAAAGTACTAACGCAAAGTATACATCTCTATCATTCTCTTTGTCCAAAGTTGTTTGACACTTGGGTAAGCTCGGTGACACTGCATCGGTTAAATTAGATCAAACAAAAGCAACCGGGTATTAATAATATATGCTCTGACCCATACTAAGCGCCATTTTAGGATGTGTGAGTGTGAGTGTGAGGATTGAGAGACACCCACACCCGCAAAAAGGCCTCATCCGTCCTTCCTTTTTTCTTGAATTCCTATTGGCTGGTAAGTGCTGCCCAAGCAGATAGACATGTCGACTTTTTTGTGTTTTTTGAACAAAAATAGCGACTTTTAGTCGATTTTTATGCGTATTTTTCGGTCATTTCAAAAACTGACAAAAAGTCGTGTTTTTTGTTGGTTTTTTCTGCTCTTCCATTTTTTCCACTGTTTTTAAATCGTTTTTCTGTCCATTTCCGTCATATTTATGCAGAAAAGTGGTTGAAAATTTTTTTTGAACAAAAAAACCACCCATTATACCTAAAAAATTTGAATTTGTGAGTGTAAATGAGATACAATTTTTTTATCTAAATTTTTTCTGAGCAAATTTTTTTTCACACGTACACACAAACAACTGTCTTCTTATATTGTTCATTAGTTATGTTTTTCTCAATCTGTCTCTTTCTGACTGATTAAGATTTTTCTCTTTCTTCGAGATATGAATAAATGAATGAATGGGAAATGTTAAGTTTGTCTTGAAAAGAACATAGAACCTACTGTTGGTCGTAAAAAATATACGAGAATAACTTTTTGATTATACGCTTTCAGTCGCATTCGAAAATTAAAAATGTACGTCCTGTTTTCGTGTTCCATTTTTAAAAATACCTTTAGTAACAGATAGGTGTAGATGGGCTGTATATGGAATAGAGACACCGACGTTCTTCTTTCACATGCAAGCATTTTCAATAATTGTTCACTTAAATAATATCCTCTCACACATATCTTTACAAAAAGGATGACAGTGTGATTAAAGTGAAAAGGTATTCATTTTTCAATGAATAAAACATCTAAAGGAGTAGACACTTTTCTACTTTTAATTATATCGATTGATAACTTATAAAACATGACCGAGAACAATGTGTGCGATCCATTCAAGTTTAATAAAAAACTAAATTGTCGAATGAAAACTCTACTAAAAATCAAGCTGAATTTTTATTCTAAAGCTGTTAAGCCCAGTATCTAAACGTCAACTGTTCTTCAGATACATTAACTAATATCTTATAGAGAGTGCTAGTATTATAAATACATTAGGAATATCTTACGATCAGAAATCAATTCAAATATGGTTACAAAAAAATTCAACTTGATTTTTCTGTGAAGTTTCATTCAATTCTTTTCCCTTGATCACATTCAAAATTGTTATCATTGATATCAAACCTCGAACTACTAATGATGTGATCCTAATAATTATACAATGATGGAAAAATCTCCTTTAGATTATTTTACATTTCTGATTTAAGTTAGTTATTGAATTAGACTCGTCTGTTTTAAAGAAAGCACTGAGACTTTTTTTTAGAGGTCGCTACATCGGTTTGTTGATTACGAATTTTTTTAGAATAACAAGAGCAATTCATATTAACTCCAAAGAATCTGCAGACTTATAAAAGAAGAGAGAAATTTTTTAATTAATAATTGAAGACGCTGCGTCAGTCAACATGTATTTTAGCAGAACCATGAGATTGTGTTGTACCTCTAGGTCGTTTTTACAAAAAACAAGAAAATATTTGGACATTCACAGTCAATCCCATCCATTCGAATGACTGTGAATGACTGTTGCTTTCCTTGCGCTTTTCTACAAGTTTATGTTTTAGAATATGGGATAGGATTTTCTCTTTTTTTTTTACATATATACATTTTTACGAAGCAATTATAAACCTTAAGAGAGACATATTTTATTTTCAATGAGTTCAGACGTTTTAGAAAATCATTCACATCGAAATTGAGAATAAAATACTTTTTTTCGCATCACTTAGAATGGAGGCTTTATCTTGTTGGTTACTAAGATTAGATATATTCGAGTCAAATTACAGCTTTCATCGACAAGTTTAAAATATACAGTGTCATTGACATTCAACAACCAAGAGAATCAATTTTTTGGCCAGCTACAGTATAGATAAGATGCTCGCAATATTAAGTTTTAGTAGAGTTCTTTTTTTTCTTGTGTTGGTTCGATAGAGCCTCACAAATTACATCGGTAAGAATATTTCAAATTAAAAACAATTTTTACAAAAGTTAGCATTATGGTTCTAGCCTCTCTCGCATTAGACAACGATGATATCTTGGATGTTTTTCATATGGTATTATCTTTTAATTTGAAACATTTTTTTTTTCTAATTCAAATTAAGGGGTTCTATCCAAACATCATGCAATGTTAGCTTAAATCTTAGTCAAATATATCTAATCTTAGCAATTAATAAGATAAACATCTTCATCGATAGTCCTTGCCTGCACTCGAGTTAGAAAACATTGAAATATGTACGATTGGACTATGAACTGTTTCATACTTTTTATTCGTTCTCTTCTTACTGCAGCGGTATAGTTTTTTGTTACAGCGTCTCAGTCTTAATACAACACGTAATTCTATTTTACTTTCGTAAAGGTATGATATTCTGTTTTGGATCGTTACAAATTACTACACAGCTACAAATATACTTGAAAAAATTTTCAAAGTTCTTACTTTACATAACTTTCGTTCTAAACCTCCCTCCATCATAGAAGACCTCCACATAATAGAAGACTCCTTTGGGAAAAAATTTGTCCCACGTAATAGAAGACCCCCGTCTAATTAATAATTTTTTTGAAAACTCAGAACTTTAATTAGCGTCTTTTACGCCTAAATATGTCTAGTTTGGGAGGTTTTGAGCTGAAAATTTCAAATCGATGAGTTCAGTTCTATATTGGAGCTTTGAAAATTGTGAAAATTTGTTCTCAAATCTTCAAAATTGCTTCCGTTCTGTAAGAAATCCCTTTTAATTACGAAACTCATCAGTGCAATGTCTGTGGGACTAAAATGTGGAACCAACGAGACTCAGACTATTATAAATTTACAATATATTGTCAAAAAAAGTTGAAAAGTTTGTTTTCAAAAATTATCAAATAAATGGATAGATTAAAATTAATTTTATCATTTGGGTTAAAATATACGCTGTAAAACTTTATTACAACGAAACTTATATATTTCAAACTATTGCCTTGGTCCCCGCACCATTTATCAATATCGTTATAATATTAATACAACTGACACAAAATGTCGAATTTCTAAAGAAACATTCCTAATAATGATTTTTTTGTAACAATTTCTATTTGTACATTTCAGACAGATTTTTTTTCTAATGCACGCTGTTTTTTCTTGTTGCTATTAGCAATATATGATTTTTTTTTTAATCAAGATTTCATTATTTCATAGTATTTGATTCAAACTTTAATTTGATGAAAAAAAATAAGCTTACTATAGGCATTTGTTAGATTTTTCCAGATCTTAACAATCGTTTATGCATCTCAATGTTCTGAGTAAGACAGAAACTAAATACTCCTGGAACTTAGAAAGTAATTCGATCACCCTTTTATCTTAGTCATACCAAGGTTATGAGGAATCAAAAGATTATCTTTGAAATGGATCGTAGAATGTTCTATTTGTGCAAAGAAGGAGGCTGGCCTTTTTGCAAATATATTCATACAAATATTTGAACGATTGAGATATAAAAGATGATTCTAGAAATTTTTAGAATCTTTTAAACCAAAGCGGTTGCTACAGCATATAATGGGAGGAGGGATATGCAAGCTGAAAAACTTCGACTTAAACTTACATTCACTATTATTTTCATTGGAAATATATTTGATTTCCACAAAACTTAACCCTTTGGGGACGGGATTACTTTCGAAAAAGAAATGAAAGGACGAGGATGTGAAAGATCGTCAACCGTGTTCCCCAAATAATTGGGAAGTCGATTGGTCGCTTTTTATGTTCTTGTCTTTTTTCGAAACTATGCAGTAAGAAAGGAAGCAAATAAGGGCACGATATAGTTTGTAATGTTACACTACATCAGTGATGATAGATCGAAAGCAAGAATGTTAGCTTATGTCATAATAATACCAAAGAAGGTATGCGAAAGTCAGTTATAAGTGAATTCACAACTGGACGTATATATACGTCGCTCGTCCCCAAAGGGTTACATACATAATATTTAGATCAAGCATTAGAATTCACAGAATTTCGAAATAGTATAGCCATGGAGATTAATTACGTAGCACTTCTTGTTGTTATGGAAAGATAGACAGTAATATATTTTTTCCATCATCTAGTTGCTATGGTAGAGGGTGAGTTGGGAGAGCTGCGAAACTTCACCTTAAAACTTACACTCACTATTTTCTTCGAAAATATACGTGAGTTCAACAAAATTGTAAAAATACGAGAAACATAATACAAAACCCCCTTGAAAAACTTTTCCACTTAAACATAATAGAAGACTCCAGGTGTTTTATTGCGGCGGGAAGGGGGAGTTATTTTAAAAATGTGTTATAACAACAAAATACAGAACATTATATCTTTTCGATAGTAAAATATAATTACTTGATGAATTAAGACTGGGAAGTTGTAACAAAAAAAAATATACGTTTGTAATAAGGAGAGAAATGTGGACAATTGTGAAAAATAATGAGTACAATTTGCCGTGTCTTTTATGTTTTTAAGAGAGTGTAAACGCTCAACATTTTTCAATTTTTAAAGAAAACAAAGTCGATACAAAATGAGAGACAATTTTTTTAAGGCAAAATTTGTATAGAACGTGATATGTCTATCTGGATGGGTGGCAACTTGTGAAACTTGGATTTTTCGTTCCTTACAAGAAATTAGTTTTTTCTTTACGCTGTCCGCTCTTCAGTCGTGTCTAAAGTTTAGAGAGAAAGTTTCAGCGCACGAGAACACCCGATTTAGAAGTTCACTGTTTATATATACATTGGACAGAGATCAGTTCTTGCACCGTATCACTCTACAGTAACTTCGATTCAGCTTTGAAAAAAGAAAGTCTGCTCACCGTCATGTCAAAGAAGGTCTTGTCGATCTTGGCACTTCTCTTTCTTCGAAGGACATCATCGCAGTCGACTGTACTCCGATCACAAGGTTCCATTACTCTACCTTAGCAACACGCGGGCGAAGAACGCTACGGATTCGGTCCCACTGTTGAACATCATCTGTTCTAGATGTTGAAGTTTGAAGGTCTATAAATAGATACAAGAGTCTCTTTTGGCATGTTCAGCACAAAATAAGCACAGTATAGATGATTATAATCAAAACTAATTAGCTGAGGAAGAGCCATGTTTTGAGAAGAGAACTATAGGAAAACAGATTAACGTTTTGACATACATGCAGCTCGTTGGCGGAGAAGTTTTGCATAGCTGATGGACAATGACAATGAAGGAGTCAGTGACCGTCACGGGTCACCCGACCCGAGGTTCGAGTTGGATCAGGTCACAGAAAATTGACATTTGACGGTCACTGGGAGGAGTACTTGCAGCTTTATTAGCAACTATTCTTGTTCTGTCTCAGCACAATTCGAACAGACTGTTTAATACAGCAAGGCAACACTCTTCCTTGTAAAGTTGAACATCTTTTCTTCTTCAGAGAAGCATTCATCTTCAAATTTTCAAATCTTCAATCGAAAGTTCTCTTCTTTCTTCTAGAGCAAAGGAAAAAAAATGGTAAGCAAAATAAACCAAAAGTTAATAATAGTGCAAAATTCCTATCTGATTGATTTCTTTATGTTTTTATTCTCTTAGGAATGTTCTTCTCCTCTGGAAGAAAATTTGCCAATTGAACAAACTGATGTTTTAATTGTTGGTAGTGGTCCAGTAGGTTGTACATTTGCTCGTGTATTGATTGAATTAAAATCTTCACATACATTAGAGAAGATTTTAATGATTGATGCTGGACAACAATTTTCAATTGTTCCGGGTGAAAATATTAAGAACAGTTGTTATTATTCAAGAAATGTTAATCAATTTACACGAATTATTGAAGGTCAAATGCAATTGATTTCTGTACCGCCCAATGCAGAAAAATTACCTTATCCACCTCATCCAATTGCTGAAACACCACATTCTCCCAATTTTCTGATTACCAATATTAATGTAAATCAAAATCCTAATGTTAATTTGCCAGCAGCAGCGGTAACTTATGCCGTTGGTGGTATGGCAACGCATTGGACTTGTTGTACTCCACGTACCTTAATTGGAGTTGAAAGACCTGGCGAAGAATATGGGATTACTCATTGCGAATGGGAAGAGTTATACTCAGAAGCAGAAACATTTTTCAAGACTGATACAACACTGTTTGAAAATTCTATTCGACAACAAGTTTTACAAGATTATTTAAAAAAAATTTATGGTGATCGAGTAGCTCCAATGCCAATTGCTGGTTTTCGTGATCCAAATAAAAATTTCATTACTTGGTCAGGTGCTAATACAGTTCTCGGTCCTTCAATTGTTGATCCATTAGGACCAAAAGGAATTAATCCAAAACTACATCCTAAAACATTTGATATTTTACAACAGACAATATGTACAAAATTAATATATAATAAAGATGAAAATGATCATTCCAAAATGAAACATATTCAAGCAGCATTAGTTCATGATTTACAATTAAATAAAAATCGTTTAATACAAGCAAAAGTCTATATAATTGCTTGTAATCCAATTTTAACACCACAACTATTATGGAATTCTGATATTAGACCTGAAGCATTAGGAAGATATTTGTGTGATCAACCAATGACATTTTGTCAAATTTTATTAAGACAAGAAATTTTAAATACAATTAAAGAATATCAAGATTCAAAAATCCATTTAATGAAATCGGCAAAAACTTTAATTATTGATAAAAGAGATAAAATATCAATTCCACTAGATGATCCACCACCAGCATTATTATTGAAAGTTACGAAAGATCAACCATGGCATGTTCAGATTCATAAAGAAGCATTTTTTTCTGAAAAATGGCATACTAGTATAGATTCAAGATTAATTCTAGATATTCGATATTTTTCTCGTGTTGAACCACGTAAAGAAAATTTCGTTACATTTGAAGAAAATATATTTGATGTAATGAGTTTACCACAGCCAACATTTACTTTTAATTTAAATCAAAAAGAAAAGAATGAAATTCATTTGATGATGAAAGAAATGACAGAATTGGCTAACCATTTAGGCCCCTTTTTACCTGGAGCTGAACCAAAAATATTGCCATTAGGTACTTCAGTACATTTACAAGGTACTCATCGTATTGGTACAAAATCAGACGAGAGTGTCACTGACAATAATAGTCGTGTTTGGAATTTTGATAATTTATTTTTAGGTGGCAATGGAAGTATTCCAACATCAATTGCTTGTAATCCAACTTTAACAAGTGTTGCAATTGCCATTCGTTCTGCAAGATATATTGCAGCAACATATAAGAAGTTATAATCTGTTAATTCAACTTCAACTTTGAAAATAATTTTCCAAACAAACAAAAATAAGAAACTTATTGCTTTTCAACATTCTCGTTAATTGCGTTATCCATTTTTCCTTTTTCCTTACTGCTCGCTTTTCCAAAATTGTTCTAATGCTTTTGTTTATTCACTATTTTTTTTTATACATGATTTCCTGACATCAAATGTTTTTACACTGAAACGAATCGAATTTAAAGTTTACTGTGATCAATTAGTTTTTGTGGAACTCACATATATTTTCCAAGAAAATAGTGAGTGTAAGTTTTAAGGTCAAAGTTTTCCGACTTCCTCTCCTTCCCTTCCATCATAGATACTTAGCAACAGAAGCTCCCATTACAGACCTTAGCAATCGAGAACAACAGATATTAGATTTTCTAGAGGTTTTTTTTTCAAAATCGATCAGCTTATAATTTTGAAAAATAACGAATATCATTATTTGTGAGTCGATTAATATACGGGCGTGATCAACCAGCCTGATACTCCAGTACTTTTTTTTTTATACACGCAGCTTCTATAATACATAAAAACGCATGAGGGTGTGGGTGTGTCGGAAGCATGGAGAATTTATCTACACTCACACTCTCAATCTGCACTCATTTGACTAATAATATTATTTGAATTGCAGATAATAGAACATTATTCATCTGAAAAATTAAGATACTAAATATGTTTGCAAATATTCATTTATAAGAAAAAAAAGTATATAAGGGTGCGGGTGTGTGGATGTGGCTCGAGATAGTAATAATATCAACAAGCAGACCCACATGCGAACCAGCCACAACCCATATCCACACCCACACCCACATCCTTTTTATCCATATTAACGATTAGAAGAATAAAGATGACACAGTCATTTTACACTCTGACCATCTTTATGCTTTTTATCATCAACTATCTTTCGTTTCTAATGCTGTGTTCATTCGTCTTTCGCGGCAGATAGGAACTTCTATTTATCTCTTATTCATATCGCGTTATTTGTAATGTTCAGACATGTTCTATTTCAAGTGAATATTAAAAAAGCAAAACTCTATCTGATAAAAGAGATCAATCAATTAAAAGTTAAGTAGAAACTTACCTTTCTTGTCTACCAAACGACACATGTTTCTCTCAACAACTGTATAAAATCGGCGGAAATAGATGGATCTGAACTCTTAATTTTACAAATTGTCGGTACATTCATGACTTATTTGTTTATTCAGAATTCAGTAGTGGAGTGCAGTGGCATATCGGCTGGATTTCAAGGGTGAGTGGGTGTGGATGGGTGTGGGTGTGGGTGGGTGGATGTGGGTGTGGGTGGGCGGGTGTGGGTGTGGGTGTGGGCAGAGTTGGAACCGGACAGCTTTTTTCTGTCCGATCTGGTCCGGCCAGCAACCTGCCGGATGAATTTTACAGCCAAACTGACAAAAATCCGGCGAAAATAACCGACCATGAAAGTATCTATTCACATATAGTGGTGATGAAGGAGAATTGAATATTCATGTGCAGAAATCCTAATTAGGAATAATTAGCTTACATTTACCAAAATTTAAATAAATCGAAAAATAAATTTAAAAAATTAAATTGATTTTCAATTTAAATTAAATTTATATACATTTAAATTTTTCAAATTTATTTAAATCTAGTTTACACCAATATAACTTCAATTTAAACCAAATAAAATTCAATTTAAAATCATTCCGTTGGATTTAAATCCAATTAAATGGGTGTACATTGAATTTAGTTTGATTTAAACTGAATTTGAGTAAATTTAAGAGGCTTAAATAAATTTAAAATAAACTTCAATTTACAAAATTTACATTTAAAATAAATTTAAATTTTCACCTCTAAGAAATTTCTATTTATTTGAAATTTAACTTAGCAAAAATTTAAATTTAAAATAAGTTAACAGGTGTTCGCCACCCATAATCAGAACTGGAAACTAAAACTTTGGAATGAAACTGTCACCATCATATTTTATAGCAAGGTGCGTGAACTTTTCGAGCCCGATATCTATATAAGTTAGCTACTCATATCAAATCTGTTTTTTTTTCATCTTAATTTCAAGAAAAAAGAGCCAGTTTACAATAAATCTAGCATAAGTGTAAATATTTATTTTTCGTGATTCAGGCAGTTGTCTAAGTAGAATAAAACAAACAAATTATATGATCTAGGTTAAAATAAGCGCTACACCAGAAAGGAGTCGATAAAGATATAAAAAGAACAATGAACTGTTTATAGTTAGGTGGATGACACAATATTCATCGAGTCTTTCGCAAACACATTCTTCTGACGTGAAAATATCATAAAAACACCTTTTTCAGTAGAGGAAATTCTTGGATACAAGCAACAATTTTTTGATGATGAACTGGCAAAAATCTGGTCCTGTCCGGCAGGCTTTAACTTTTTATCCGGTTCAAGTGTGGGTGTGGATGTGGATGTGGGCGTCGCAATATTTCAATTGAAAACCCACATCTAGCCATACCCTCTCACACCCGTACCCGTACCCACATCCACATCCCACATCACACACCCAGTTCAGCCATTTGAGATTGCATTTGTATTTTGATCTTTTGTACAAATAAAACCAAAAAATTATCTCAAACTGGATACATACGATGGAATAATGCTAATATACACTAAGTGTAGATTTTTGATATCATCAAATTCCACTCTGACTACTTGAAATCGTGCTCCTGGTCGTAATAGAATCTCTTCCTCCTTACAATAGCTGATTTTCGACAAGTCTGTAAATTGATCTTTCAATAAGTATAGCTGAAGTTCAATAATGTACAAACCATTTCGTGCAAAATTTTCGGAAATATCCCGGTTCAGTGAAGTGGAAACAAATGAGAGCCATTTGAAATATTTGGAATGGTCTCTCACTGCCTGTCTATATTCTTCTAAAATTTCGCGAGACATATAATCGCCGCGATACACAGTCATTGACCGAGATTCGGTCCGACGAAGAGTTTGTTGGAAACGATGACGAATCGAAAAATCATCGTTGATATGTCGACCGATGTAGTTGTAAACGAGAAAGCAGTACGGTCCAAGAGTGTGAAGTTTACTACGATCATCATCACGCAATGCGAGGTTGACTGTACGAAAGATAAAACATGCTTTTGTATAAAGTTTAGCACAATAACCTTCCAGCACTTCCATTTTCTTCTTCTCTTTCATCTTAAGACTTTTCTTTCTGGTCTCGTTCAAAGTATCTACGATATCTCGTACTACGTGTTTTGGTTCGAATTGTCCTTCCTCGCGCAAACCTTGTAGAAGAACAGGAAAAATAGAATCAAATGTAACATCCCGTTTTCCCTCAGTGAATGTCAAGTACCATGCAGCAATAAATGGTGAGCCATAATAATTTGTATCCACACTCGCACTACAGCTTGAAACTAACACTAAAGGATACGAGCATCGTTCATAACGCCGAGCTTCATCTTCGATCGTTTCGTCACGAGAAACTGATAATTTCAGATAACGTTGTTGTCGTCGAATTGGTTGTTTACGGTTTCGATCGTCAACATATTCTATTAAGAAGTACTTAAAATCAATTCGATACATTCCATCAATAGTTATTCCTTCCAAGTCACGTCGAAAGGCTTTTTCGATGACTACTGATATAGCATCCGGTAGAGGTGTCCATTCGTCATTTGTCTTACATACCCAAATGAGTTCGTTTTCAGTTGATGTTTCCGGAATCCGACGTACTGAAAGCAATTTTACAGATGACGCCATGTGTCGTAAACAGATAAAAGACAGAGGATCAATTGTCAAACTTTTATATCAATCCTTTCGATACTAGATAGTTACTTTAACTATTAACGATGATGATCAATTATACATACTGGATTCATGCTGGCACTTTCTGAAAATAGAAGATTTCAAGAAATAATTTATCTAAGATGTCTCTTTCTGCTAAAACAATATTGCTTAGTAAGGTGAGAAAAACGAGTGTATTATCGAAAGTGAAAGATCACTTCTTTGTACAGGTCATCAACTGAATTGACTATTGACACATGTTTAAATTTACGAGAATTCACTGTGCGTCGCATGTATCGTCCTACTGTTCGGGCAAAAGAATTTGCAATCCACAGGTTGCGTCGCACATGTCAAGAAATGACAGAACGAAAGGAAACGAACAGGAGAAAAGAAACAGAATAGAATGACAGCATCGTTTTGGAGTAACATCAATTAGTCAAGTTAACAATCCAGCGCATATTCTCTTTCTCTAGCTCTATTTTATGGATTAAATACAAGTCTAAAGATGGCTGAACTATTAAAGCAAACAAATAATTCTGTACGCGTTTGAAGGATGTATAAAGATTAATAAAACCTTTGAACGAAAGGTTCTAGTATCGAAGTAGCACTCTAAGGGTGCAATATTTAGAAAAAGAATGTTTTAGATGAGCTAAACAAATCCGATTATAGACAATAAAAATAATTAGGAAAACAGGAACAGACACATAATAAACAGGTAGAGAAAAATTATCTGAGTGTACATGATCGCAAAAGACTGGAAAGTTCGTACGATCTGATGTCCAAAGCAAGAAAAGAAAATCTTAAGTCACGATTCGAAAAAACCACAAGAAAAAATGTTACACCAAATTGATCAGAACAAAAGACTCTACAAAATGAGCTATGTTGAAAAATTTTGACATGTCTTCACATGTTTTTATTGATTGGTATTCATAAGAAAATGCGAAAAGAGTTGCTCCTTAGACCTCAAAACAGATGTATTCCAATGATCAACAGCATAACAGGTTTTGTAGAGCAATCTCTGCTTTGCAAAACCCTATAACTGGTTTCTCAGACATTATCTAGCAGCTTGTGTAAAGCTCAATCTAATATAAACAACGATTTGCATTCACAAAAGGTGCTAGTTTTTCTAGTGTACCATCTCGATATGTCATTTGATTGAGTTGAAACTTTCACCGTATAATTAGTTAATTTGGCATGAACGGTTGATCGAACTAAAATTATGTGGTAACTCCTTCCAATGCTTCGAAAGGATATACACAGCAATTTTGTGACAAAAGTTGCTTGATCCGGTCTGTTATTAGTAAATAATATACTATTTCATGATGTCCAACTATTTATCAATGAAAATTAAGTAAACAGTCGTTCTATGCTGAAATCCAAATTTTTTTGTGATGGTTTTTACCGCGCATGATTGAGATGAAGGTCACGTGTGTATGAAGAGCATCTGAAATAATATGTGACTTATTACCTCTGCATCACACGATAAATTCATTTGTGCATATTCGTCATTGAATTGAAGAAGCAAAATCGTTCTCTTTCTCATAATGACGACAAATACGAAGAAACTACTGTGATAAAAAATTTCACCATTCTCGACTCATACAAATATCAGGTGACGCATCATACATGGCCGATATTTGTTGTCTATATTTTTAGTTTCTTTATAAAATTTATTCAATACAAAGTAAAATATATCACGTGGAGTAGAGCAGAAGACACTTTACACTGCCCATCAAAAAAAATATTCAAAGTACCGGTCTTGTGTTCTCAAGATAGCCAAAACTTTATTAAGTCATTTTTTCACGCTGTGAGTAAGGCTATTTTTTAATACGTGAGCAGTTAACTTTTATTTGGAAGAAGAGTTTCAAATTTCATTGATGATTAGTAATGATTACTTAATACTTGCAATCTCAGCACTAGACATTCTTATGTGTACATATGATACAATGTTGGTGACAGTATGCAATAGAATGAAGTCAAGAATTGTTGCAACTTAACTGACAAAAATAACTGATCACTCATGTATCAAAAGCTAGCTTTATTTTCAGCGTAGAAAAAATTACATAGTAAGGTTTAGCTTAGATTAGAAACAAAAGACTGACATTTTGAATATCTTTTTTTGATGCCAAGTGTAAAGCATCTTTCGTTCTACTCTGTGGTCTACTTTGTATTGTATAAACCTTATAAAGAAGCTAGAAATATCGAAACCAAATACTGGCCATGTATTACGCGTCATCCAATAATGTGCACCACATGTCTAGAACAGGTGTCATGATCGAATAACAGCGTTTATTTTTCGTGACTACCTTTACATTTGACGTCAAAGTTTTTTTCTTTTCTGTTATTAACTTGACATAAAATAGAAACAGGGGTATTGATACAACGTTGTATATTGTCGTATTATAGGTGTAAATATTCAAGCACGTGTGATATGTCACTTCCTCTGAAGAAATTTTTAATTTTTCTAGTGTTTGACAGTAATTTATTGCTCAAAAAACTATAAGACAAATTGATAATGAATAAATTTTGAAAATATTTAATTTTCATGTTCATTTTGGTAGATACAAACGCTTTCATGTCACAACGAGTAGCGTACGTCGGGATGCTAAAGATAATTAGAATACACACGTTGTAAAATAAGAAATCAAATATGAACCTACGCGATCGCAAGGTTCTTTGATAGTAACTTCACGTGTATATTCTTCAGGTGATAAATTTGTTCGCCGGTTATTTTCTTTCATTAAATAAATGCGTAAAATAATGGTAGCAACCATACTAACAGCTATCAATCCACCACAAATTAAGTGCTCGCGTCGATACATCGGCTTATCAACTTCTCTATAAATCTATAAAGAAAAAAAATCACTATAAAGACTGTTTAAAGGCATTGATAAGCTTTCACAAACAGTAATCTTACTAGAGGCATGACAATGCCACCGATTTGACCGATACCCATCAC